CTTGAGCAGAAAGATTTCACCTATCTTTATGAGCAGAATGATGCTTTGGTGTTTATGGATATGCAGTCTTACGACCAGCTTGAGCTGCAGCGCGATTTTGTGGGCGAGCGCGCCGCCTTTCTGCAAGACGGCATGAAGGTGACGGTCGAGCTTTATGAAGAGCGGCCGATAGGCATAAGCCTGCCGGATCAAGTGGTGCTGGCGGTTAAGGAAGCCGATCCCGTGGTAAAAGGGCAGACTGCCGCTTCCTCTTATAAGCCTGCGCTTTTGGAAAATGATATTCGCATTTTGGTGCCGCCCTTTATCGCCGCGGGCGAGCGCATTATTGTCGATACCAATGAGATTGCCTATTTGCGCCGCGCCGATTAGGTTTTGCGCGGGAATGCGGCGGGCGATTAAGCTTTGCCTTGCGGCGGGGCGCGGATTATGCGCATAAAGCATAAATGGCGGCAAAGCAGGCTTTGGCGGAATGCGGCGCAGGGCGCGCCTTTTGCGGGCAGTGTGTTTTGCGGCGGGCAGTGAATTTTAGGGAAAAGAGATTATGGCGCGTTCGGCGATAATGAATGTTATGGCGCAGGCCGCTTTGAAAGCCGGGCGCGCTTTGGCGCGCGATTTTGGGGAAGTGCGCAATTTGCAGGTTTCCTTAAAAGGACCGGCGGATTATGTCAGCATGGCGGATAAAAGGCCGAAAGCCTGATTTTGAAAGAATTGCAGTTTGCCCGCCCTTCTTATGGTTTTTTATTGGAAGAAAGCGGCGAAATCGCGGGCGAGGATAAGCAGCACCGCTTTATTGTCGACCCGCTGGACGGCACGACCAATTTTCTGCACGGCATTCCGCATTTTGCCGTCTCAATAGGGCTGGAAAGCCAGGGGCGCATGGCGGCGGCGGTGATTTATAATCCGGCGGCTGATGAGCTGTGGACGGCCGAGCGCGGCGGCGGCGCTTTTTTAAATGACAGGCGCTTGCGGGTTTCAAGCAGGCGGCGGCTGGAAGATTGTGTTATCGGCACGGGCATTCCGCATT